TGCGGCTGAGCCAGTGGTAGCACAGCAGGCTGAGAATCACCATCTTCAGGATGAGGTTCCTGGGGAGCAGGAGCAGAGCCAGAAGTCCCTGAGCCCAGGGGATGGGGGGCTGAGCCCCACACATGGGGTGCCTAGCCCCAAAGCCTCCTTGCCTGCCACAGGTGCAGAATGCTCCCTCCACCACAACCCCAGCCAGCCCACCTGATGATTGCCACGTAGACCTCTGTCACTGGGGAGTCCTGCCTCTCCCACATCGCCAGCAAGTTGAACAAGTGGGGCATCAAGGCATTGAGGAGGGACACCACAAGGGGCAGGACCAGCAGAATGGCTTCTTGCTGCCATCTGCCACTGCCCTGTGCTTGTAGCTCCTGCTGAACCTGGTGAGCAGGTACTGGGCTGAGGGCACAGCTGTTGGCAGCCAGGTGTGGTGTCCTTGGGGAGAGCAGCAAATGCCCAGGCCAGGAGCACAGCTGCAATGGGGCTGTCCCTGCCTCTCTCCCCAGTACCCCAGCCCTGTCCCTCCAACCCCAGGGCAGGGGATCCCAGGGTGGGAGGTGGCACTCACCACGTGCATGTGCTCTGAGAAGTAGTGCACAGCCAGCACGCAGCCCGACACCGAGGCCAGGGCCAGCAGCCAAGCCAGCAGCACCACAAGGCAGTGCCTCAGGCACTGGCAGCGGCCCTGGGCATGGGAGCGGGAGCGCTGCTCCCCCAGCAGCTCCTGCAAGAGAGCAGCACAGAGCTGCCAAATCCCCTTTGGGTCTGGGGCAAGGCTTTGTCCCACTGCAGCACCAGGACCCAGAGGGGTGAGGGACAAAGCACTAGCAAGGCTGGGTCTGGGGTGTTTTGCATTGCTCAGCTCCTCCACCTTCAACTGGGTGCAGATGTTCTCGCACTGCAGCTTCACCGATCGCCTCTGGATCACCTTGAAGTCCCAGGCGCAGAAGACCTTGATGGCCAAGTCCCCTGTGGAGCTTCCCACGCTCTCCCGAAAAGAGCGGGACACGCTGCAGCGAGGTGAAGGGCATCAGGGACTGGGGCTGGCTGCAGGGGAAGGCTGGCAGTGCCACAGGTGCCACTGACCCACCTGTACACCAGCAGGATGCAGGTGACAAGGAAGGAGACCCCAACACTGAAGAGGTAGGCCAGTGGCAGGTTGTACGGGAGCAGGGGGGCTGGGAGGGGGCACACGCTGCCCTCAGGACTGGAGGTGCAGGGGTCGTTCAGGGTGACGTTGCTGTAGTAGCCGTAGTACAGCAGCGAGTGCGTGAAGTAGCCCTGCAGGAAAGCACACGATGGCCCCACGGTGACCTCGGCAGTGCTTGCAGCTTCCCCCTTAGCCTGGCACCTCTGTGCCAGCCTCAGGGATACACAACCTTGTAGGGCAGCACCACCTTGTGCACCCACAGCACTGGTGGTCCTGGGGCCCAGGCTGTGCAAGGACAAGAACTGGGGTATTATTACAGTGGGAAAGTGGGGCTGCCTGCCAGGCTTGGCACAGCCCCTGACCTGGGGGTGCCTGGGCCGTGCTTACCGCTCCTGTGAGGAGCTCGAGGCCACTGAAGGGCTGGGGGCTGACTGATGCAGTGGGGTACACGGCCTGCAGGACCACCACGAAGGCCAGGAGAATGAAGAATGAAAAGAAGTTCAACATAAGGAGTGTCTTGAGGAAGAGGAAGTAGGACAGGACACTGGAGCCAAAGCGGCCACCAATCTGCTTCAGGGCATAGTGCCCGGGCTGCGCAGCGCGGAGCAGGGAGAGGAGCCTGTACCAGACACCTCGGCAGCCCTGGGGACAGAAAAATGGGGACAGCAGTGGGGCTGGAGCCTGCACTGGAGCCCTCCCAGCCTCTGTGCAGACCTGTGCCTCAGACTTACGAGGCTGACGAAGACCTTGGACCAGCCACAGGGTGAGAAGGGGGCCCAGTGATGGGTGCGCTGCCTCACTGGGCCCCTCTGCCCGCTCAGCTGCCGCCTGCCCAGAAGAGAGGGGGGTCAGAGGCTACCACAGGTCCTGGGACAGCTCCGGCTGTGGGAGCCCTGCCCAGCTGGCGTGATGGAAGGGGTCCTACCGGAGGATGCGTTTCTCCACCAGGCTGAGGGGCATGGTGAGCAGCATGTGGCTGCACTGGCTGGGTGAGAGGCTCAGCAGCTCCTTCACCAGCAGGCGCCGCTTCTCTGGGGCACAAGGGGCTCAGTGGGACACGGCCAGCCACAGCCTGCCTGTCCCTAACCCAGCGTAGGGACAGTGGCCAGCACTGCCTTTAACAGTCTGTGGGAGGCTCACCTTCCAGCGTGGCCCTGCTGGGGTCGGTGTCCAGGTCGTAGTGGCGCAGGCTGGGCCGTGCCGCGCGGCAGAGCTGCTGCAGGGGCGGGCGGCCGCTGCGGCGCCGCAGCCGTGCCGTGCGGTTGCAGTACTGGGAGATGATGGCCCCGAGGTTGCGTCCTGTGGGGCAGAGCAGAGCAGGGGGTGGGTGGCTACAGGAGAGCAGGGCAGGCAGAGCTCCAAGGGGCTCTGAGAGCTGGGGAAGGGTGGGAAGGTGGGTGGCACCTACCGATGGTGCGGCTGGGCATGCTGGCCAAGATCTGCAGGGAGGGAGAGGAGTAGCTGGGGTGCTCCTCACCTTGCCCGGGCTCTGGCCAGGCCATGGCACAGGCTTCTGGAGTAGCCAAGCAGGCTGGGGACTCTGGGAGGAGGAAGGCAGGATTCAGAGAGGCCATGGCTCATCCCTACATCCCTGCTGCTCTGCTCCAGCACAGAGGCTCAGTGTGTGCTCTTCCCAGAGTATCCCTTTCTCCAGGGACACTTTCTGTGTCCCCAAGATCTGATCTCCCCTGGACTGCCCTGCTCTGCACTGGCCAAGGCATCTGCAGGCTCCCATGAATGTTTTGGCTGCAGCATTTTGACACAGCTGGCCCAAGCAGAGGAACAGCCCCGGGCACACACACTGTCCCCAGCCTGCCCTGGCTGAGGCTGCAGTGCTTTACCTCTGGCCCTCTCCAGCACCTCCAGCTCCAGACCTGCCTCGATCAAGCTGCTCTGCTCCAGGATGAGCTGGTGGAATGAGGTGTGCAGGGCTCTCTCGTTGTCCGGACTGGGTTCCTGGCTGAAGGAACACAGGGACATGGTGGCACAGACACCTGGTGCTTGCAGGGCACGAGGTCGTAGCCCATCGTACCTGGGATGGAGGTCCCAGGGCACGACAGGGCAGCGGAGAGGTCACACTCACCCATCGCTCTCGGTGCCCTCGGGGACGAGGAGGGTGATGGAGGGCGGCTGGGACATCCTGCGAGGCCGAGCGGGTCCCTCCTACCCGGGCCCTGCCGTGGTGAGCAGACTGGCGCGCTGGTCCCGGCCCCCACCAGCCCCCGCTTTCCGCGGCTCCCCGGCGCTGCGGGACGGGCACGGAGCCGGAGCCGCGGCGTGCGAGGCCGGGGGCAGCCGGGAGCGCGGAGTCTGCGGGGCTAAACAACGACTAACCCCGGGTCCAGCCCAACCCGGCCTCAGGAAGGAAGAGAGGGCGGATGGGGCGGTACCGCGGCCGAGAGGTTCCGCCCGCCGTCCCGGGACCCTCCGGGTCGGGCACGAAGCTTCCGAGCCCCAGTCCCGGAGTTTGGCTCGGGACGGGCCCGGAGGCGCCCTAGGAGGACACGTCGTGCAAAGACCCCCGTGCCCCGCACGGTGTTCCCCGCCCCGTGCCGTCTCCTTCCTCCCCTGCTCTGCCTCCTCCACCCCGGGGCGGGCTGAGGCTGCTCAGGGCAGGTGGCCGCCCCGGGGCTCCCCGCCAGGCCCCGCTCGCCCCACTACCGAGAACCGACGGAACGCTCCCCGGCGCTCCCGCCGCCTGTCGCCCGAGCTGTGGCTCGCGTGGGTGCGGGGGCTGCCGAGCGTGTCCGTCCCGTCCCTCTTGCCGCCTCCCGGTACCGGGTGGGGGCGGCGGGAGCCCCCCAGAAGCCCCTGTTTCCCCTCGGCTATGCTCACTGGCGGCCGAGGTGTGGGCCGGCGCTGCCGTCCCCCGTTACACCGGAGCGGAAGGAGGGACGGAGCTGGGAACCGGGATATGCTGCGGGACCGGCGCGGCACTCTGTGCCCGGGCGGGGGAGCCCCTGTCCCGCCGGAGCCAGTCCGCCCGCCCCGCCCCGGCGTCCCCGGACCGCAGGACCGGCCCTCCCGGGGCGGTGCCGCGCAGGAGCGGCGGCGGAACGCCATGGAGGGCGGCGGAGGCGCCTACGGGGCGGCCAAGGCCGGCGGTGCCTTCGACCTGGTCCGCTTCGTGCAGCAGCCGCAGGTGGTGGCGCGGATCGTCAGCGCGGTGAGTCGGGACGGGAGAGCCCCGCCGGGACGGCGTCTCCCCGCCGCAGGCCGGTGCCCCTCGCCCGCCGGGACTGCAGCCCCCGAAGGGCTCCCCCCGGCCTCGGTGCCGCCCACCGGACATCAGCTCCGCCCCGTAGGTCTTCGCCCTGATCGTGTTCGCCTGCCTGGTCGGGGATGGCTACATGAGCCGGCCCGAGGACCCCCGGCTCTTCTGCATCTTCAACCACAACGAGGACGCCTGTCGCTACGGCATCGGCATCGGCGTCCTCGCCTTCCTCGCCTGCATCTTCTTCTTCATGGTGGACGTCTATTTCCCCCAGATCAGCAACACTACGGACCGCAAGTACCTGGTCCTGGCCGACCTCGGCTTCTCAGGTACCGGGGCGCGGGCAGGGCTGTGCCCGCGGTGCCTGCCACAATGGCCGCCTTGTCCCGTGACGTGGCTGCCGGTGCCTGGCGAAGGGAGCCGCTCCCGAGTCGCTCCGTCTGGCGTGCTGCCCGCGGGCCACGCGCTGCTGCTGCTGCTGTTCCTGCTGCTGCTGTCCCTGCTGCTGTTCCTGCTGCTGCTGCCCCTGCTGCTGCCCCTGCTGCTGCTGCCCCTGCTGCTGTTCCTGCTGCTGTTCCTGCTGCTGCTGCCCCTGCTGCTGCCCCTGCTGCTGCCCCTGTTGCTGCCCCTGCTGCTGCCCCTGGGCGGCGGAACGCCATGGAGGGCGGCGGAGGCGCCTACGGGGCGGCCAAGGCCGGCGGTGCCTTCGACCTGGTCCGCTTCGTGCAGCAGCCGCAGGTGGTGGCGCGGATCGTCAGCGCGGTGAGTCGGGACGGGAGAGCCCCGCCGGGACGGCGTCTCCCCGCCGCAGGCCGGTGCCCCTCGCCCGCCGGGACTGCAGCCCCCGAAGGGCTCCCCCCGGCCTCGGTGCCGCCCACCGGACATCAGCTCCGCCCCGTAGGTCTTCGCCCTGATCGTGTTCGCCTGCCTGGTCGGGGATGGCTACATGAGCCGGCCCGAGGACCCCCGGCTCTTCTGCATCTTCAACCACAACGAGGACGCCTGTCGCTACGGCATCGGCATCGGCGTCCTCGCCTTCCTCGCCTGCATCTTCTTCTTCATGGTGGACGTCTATTTCCCCCAGATCAGCAACACTACGGACCGCAAGTACCTGGTCCTGGCCGACCTCGGCTTCTCAGGTACCGGGGCGCGGGCAGGGCTGTGCCCGCGGTGCCTGCCACAATGGCCGCCTTGTCCCGTGACGTGGCTGCCGGTGCCTGGCGAAGGGAGCCGCTCCCGAGTCGCTCCGTCTGGCGTGCTGCCCGCGGGCCACGCGCTGCTGCTGCTGCTGTTCCTGCTGCTGCTGTCCCTGCTGCTGTTCCTGCTGCTGCTGCCCCTGCTGCTGCCCCTGCTGCTGCTGCCCCTGCTGCTGTTCCTGCTGCTGTTCCTGCTGCTGCTGCCCCTGCTGCTGCCCCTGCTGCTGCCCCTGTTGCTGCCCCTGCTGCTGCCCCTGCTGCTGCCCCTGCTGCTGCTGCTGCTGTGTGCCCCGAGGAGCAGCCGCTCTGGCCCGGTGCCTGCACCAGCCTGCACGGTGGAGCAGGGTCTGGGCCCGGGACTGCCCAGGAGCAGCAGGACCAGCCCTGGCTCCTCATGCCACTTCCCCCCACAGGTCTCTGGACCTTCCTGTGGTTCATCAGCTTCTGTTTCCTGACCAACCAGTGGTCCTGGACACAGGCTGAGGATGTGTACATCGGCGCGGACTCTGCCCGTGCTGCCATCACCTTCAGCTTCTTCTCCATCTTCTCCTGGGTGAGTGAAGCACTCTGCCCCACTTGGGGGAGTGCATAGGGGCTCCCTGCCCTCACAGCCTGGAACGGCCTTGATGCTGCTCCCCTTCTCTCTGCAGGCACTCCTGCTCACCTTCGCTTACAAGAGGTACAAAATGGGGGTGGAGGACTTTGCTCAAAGCTACGCCGACCCCAGCCCGGGGGTTCCGACTCCCTACTCCAGCTATCCCAACATCAGCCATGAGAGCTACCAGCAGCCGCCCTTCACGCACACAGCGGAGGCCCCGGAGGGCTATCAGCCACCACCGGTGTACTGAGCCCTGGCTGGCACCCGCGGGACGGCTGTACAGTGCAATTCCTTCCGCGGGGTGGGAGGGAGGGATCTGTGACTTGGAGGGCACAGTGGGGCGGGAGGGTGATGGCTGCTTTGTTTAAGGTGACTGGGCCTTTTCATGAGGTGCAGGAGGGGCTTCTGCCTGGTCCCAGAGCTGGATCCTGACTGGAGGGTCCAGAGCCCATTGTGTGATTTGGTAGGTGGTTTGGCACACGATGATTTGCAGCTGCTGGGTGAGCAGTGCAGCTGCAGGTTGGGTGTGTGGGCAGCCTTGGCACTTACAAGCCTCTGCTTTTGCTGTGGTGCCTTGGTGGTGGGCTGCAGCTCACACCCCCGACTCTGGCCAGGCTCTGCCCCTGTGACTGTTGCCTTGGCCCATCCTGTCTCCGGTGCCTTTCAGCCCTGCTGGCTGCATTCCCCACGTGCTGTCTCGCTGCTGCAGCACAGCCAGGCCCAGCTCCTGCCTGCACTGCCTTCCCTTGCCTTCCCCAGCGGCTGCTTCTGGGCCAGCTATTGCCAAAGCCCCCTCTTCTCTAATGCCATGCTGTGCCTTCCTCCAGCCTGCACTAGAGCTGCTGGTGCTTGGATGATGCCATTTGGGGTCTGTGGGAGCAGTGAGCACTGAGATCCCTCAGCAGAGCTGTGGCTGAGGACACCCTGGAGCACTTTCCTTGCCTTGTGTGCCTGCCCGAGTGCTGCTGTGAGGCTGAGCTCCTGCTCCCTGCCCACAGCTCCCTCCTGCACTCCTGCCACACCAGGAGCCTCTGGTCCATTGTCTCAGGTTGTGTTTGCTGCTGTGCTGTGGTAAAGCTGTTCCCGGCAGCCGTGTGTGCCATCACTGCTGGGGCCAGCCTTTGAGTAGTTGTCACTGTAGGGTTGGAATAAAACTTTTTCACCAAGCCACCATGTGAGTCACCATGTGCCTTTTGTCTCGGGGGAAGCAGAAAAGGCTCCTGCCTTCTGCCCCTCCAGGGCTTGGGGTGTCAGGTGGGGCAGTGCAGCCCTGCCAACTGCTGTGCTGCAAACAGCACACTCATGCTGGTGTGGCTATTTTTAGGCCATCCTCCTCTTGCTGCCTGGTCAGAGCAGAGCTCCAACACCAGGCCTGTGAGCAGCCCTCCCACCCTGTGACCAGCCCATGCTGTCTCACTGGTCACTGCCAGGAAAACTTAGCAGAATGCTCTGGTAAAAAATACACACAGAGGTTCATTAAATTATTTATTAACCTAAAGCAGCAGCAGAGCCTTCCCCAGCCTTGGGGGGAAAGCCCAGGCCTGGTAGTCAAGTGCTTGTGAATACAATAATTCTCACCTGAAACATGGGGGCAGCAGGGGGGGTTCGGGCAGCTCTTGGAGCCTTCCAGGGCACAGGCAAATAGCAACCCTGGACTCAGATGCAGAGGTCTGGCCTGGCCAGAACAAAGCTACTGCTCGGAGCCTGTGGATGCTGAGAAAAAAACACTTGCAGGAGAAAAACACACTTTTGCAGGCAATAAGGAAACAACAACTTTCCAGAATCTAACAAAGAGGATCCTTCAGTCAGCTTAGAGCAGACTAAGAGTCAGCCTCGAGAACTTTGGGAGGCTGAGGAGAAAGAGACATGACTAGACTGGAGAAGCAGCTCCTCAGGAGAGCCCCACTACCAAGCAGCTGGGTCTTCCCTGGAATAATTGTCCAAATCTTGGTAGATGAAACTCTTGGGCCTCCAAACCCCTCACAGGTAACAGCACCAAAATGGCAGCACCAGCCTTGAACCTGAGAAAAACTGCCCTGAATTTGGAGGAGGCTCTTCCTAGGACCAGTTCCTCCAAACGAGTCTGCCACAGCCTGCTAGAACACAGCCAGCCCTTTGAGGTTCAACACCTCAGAAGAGTCAGCTGCCAGGCCTCCTTCTGTTTCAATAATTTACACCAGGGAGCATGCTGGCAGAGAGGCTGGGGGCCTGCCCAGGGCTGGGCTGATGTGTGTGTCAGTTTAAAAGCTGTGCCACAGCTCTGTGACAAGGGACAAGTTACCTCAGACTGTTAAGGAAGGAAGTTAAAAATTGCATTAAAAACACTAATGGCTGTACATTATCTTGAGAAACCTGGAATTTTGCAAGTGTACAAGAGAGAAGGGCTGCGTGGACAGGCAGCAGAAGCAGCGGTGGCAGCCTGAGCACGCTTAGAGCACTGGAGAGCTGGCCAGAGCCACAGCGAGCGGCGGCAGCGCTGCGGCCCGGCTCCACGTGCGGTGCCCCAGCACCTGTGTGGCAGCACCAGTAGCTGTGCTGGTCTCTCTCCTTGTTCTGAGATGGGAACTCACTCTCGCCAGGTTTTTGCTTCAGCTTCCACCAGCATCAGGCGTGGTGGATCCTCAGTTGTGGCGCTTGGTGCGGGGAGGTTGGGTAGGGAGGGCTGAGGCACTGAACAGTTTGTTAAAGTAGAGAGAGGCAGGCCCGGTGCCTGTGAGCCACAGCACTGAGCTCCCTTCCCCTCCGTTGTCCCAGCAGTCAAGTGAAGATCTTGCGAGGGGCAGCTGTCTCCAGCTGCCTCAGGCCCAGGGGCACGTTCTCCTTGTTCTCTGGCCCGGCCTGCTGGGGTCGCATGCGGAAGTAGCAGGCTCGGCACACAGAGTGGTACTTGTCAGCTCCTCCGATCACTTCAACCTGGAAGGGAAATTTGGGGAGTGGCTGCAGAGCCCAGCTCCCTGGAGGGAGCCTCTCTGTACCAGCAGGACTGGAAAAGTGAAACAGTTTCTGTTTCAAGGCACTCACCTCCCGCTCTGCTCCCAGCCTCTTGGTGTAGGAGGCCTCCCGGAAGCACTCCATGCACACAGCGTTCAGCTTCACCACGCTCTCCGCCAGCGGCACCAGGTTCAGGATGCTCCCAAAGGCCTGTGCGAGACAGCAGGGAACATGCTGCCGGGTGGGTTCCACGAGGGTCCCAAAGCAGCTGCAGTACCAAAATGAGTGTTTTACCTTTCTCTGGAAAGTCCCATCCAGAGCAGCAACAATGACGGTTTTCCCAGTGTTGGCCATTGTCTCACAGAACTCCACAATGTCTGGGAACTGGAGGGGTACAGGCACATCGTAAAGAAGGATGGGGGGCAGCACTTGGCTCCAGATCCCACAGTGCATGCCCAGACAGCAGCATCAGGAACAAAGAAAATCAGAGCTGCACGCCCTGTCTGTGAAACGGGCTGCAGTCCCGCCCTCCTGTCTGCAGGGACTATAGCGGGGAGGCTTTGTAAGCACAGCCACATGGACCAAACCGCCCCAGGGCATTACTTCCCGCCCTCTCCTACGAAGGACACAGCCCTCGGTGTGCACAGAGGAGCGTGTGTCCCGCAGAGCCCAGCAAGCCCACCCCAGCCATGCACTTACGAACTGGCCCTCGTCGATGCCGATGACGGCGGCACCCAGCGCTTCCTGGTACACGTCCTGGAGGAGCCCGGCGGGCAGGGCCTCCATGGTGCTCCTGCGGGCAGGCAGGGAGTGAGCCGGGCAGGCCGGGCAGCCCCGTGGAGCGGGGTGTCCTCCTGCCCCGGCAGCTCACTTGTCGTGTGTGGAGACCCCTGAAGAGCTGTAGCGCGTGTCCTTGGCATACTTCACCAGCAGGCACCGGTACTGGGCAAGCTGGAACCGCCGAACTCGCCGCATGAGTTCCGTGCTGCAAGACACGGTGCCAGCGGGCCTCAGCCTCAGCCCACCGCCTTCCCGCGCCCCCCGCCCGGCGCCTCCCGCTCCCGCCTACCTCTTCCCGGAGAACATGGGCCCGAAGATCACCTAAGGGAGAACGGTGCGGTCACAACAGCGGGCAGAACAGCGGGCAGCCCCGGCTCCAGCAGCCGGGGGCCCCCGCAGCCCCCTGAGCCCGGCGCGGCACCAGTACCTGCCCCAGCCCGTGCCCGGGGCAGTACCGTACCCGGAGCAGTACCGTACCCGTATCTGCCCCCAGCCCATGCCCGGGGCCGTACCTTACCCGTATCTGCCCCCAGCGCGATGCACCCCACCGTTGCGGTACCTGCATCTGCTCCCACACCGGTGCCCCAGGGTGGCACCTGTACGCCTCCGCCCGTGCCCCGGGGTGACCCCGTACCTGTATCTGCCCGCGGGGCCGGCTGGGGGAGCCGGGATGGACACCGGGCACCGTCAGGCAGTTCATGGCGGACTGCTGGCCTGAGCCCGCGCGCGCCGATTCGGCGCGGCCCCGTCAGCCAATCGGAGAAGGCCTCTCCCCCACGCGCCGCAGCGCTAGCCAATCGCGAAAGGGTCTGCGCCGCCGCGCGGAGGCGCTGCCCAATGGGTCCAAGGGCGCCAAACTTTTTATTTTCCTTTGCCCGCTGGCTCCGCCCTCCCGGTCCCCAGCGGCCAATGGGACGTGGCCCCGCCTCCGGGCTCTGGCCTCACCTCCACGGTCTGGCCCCGCCCTCAAGCTCGGACCTCGCCTCCGGGACGGCCAATGGGAGCGCGCCAGCCCGCCCCCTGCTTAGGCCCCGCCCCTCGGCGGGCAGGCACCGGGAGCGGCACCGGCACCGGGATCAGGACCGCGAGCGGCACCGGGAGCGCCACGGGAGCGGCCCCACGATGGGCGGGTGGCGGGATCTGTCCGCGCAGGTACGGCCCCGAGGCAGGGCAAAGAGCGGCTCTCCCAGGGCCGCCGGCCGGGGGTGTCGGCGTGGCCCCGGCGCTGCCCCCCTGCCCCCCCGCAGGCGCTGGAGGACCATTACTCGCCCAGCCGCTGGTCCCCCCGCCTGGACCGGGACACCATCATCGACGCCCACCTCGCGGTGACGGCGGCAGGTAGGATCGCGGCTCCGGGACCGGGGCTGCGCTCGGTGCCACGGCGCCGTGCTCCACTGCCTCCCCCCTGCAGGAACCGAACGGGCCCGGGCCAGCGGGCAGACCTTGCTGCACGTGCCCTACGGCGACGGGGATGGGGAGAAGCTGGACATCTACTTTCCCACGGACCCTTGTGAAAGTGAGTGACCGGGTGGCGGGGACGGGAGCGGTAGGGAGGACACAGGCTCACCCCGCACTGTGCTGCGCAGCCTTCCCGGTTCTGGTCTACATCCACGGCGGATACTGGCAGTGCATGAGGTGAGGTGGGCTGTCGGTGAGGGGTTCCTCGGGACGGGACCCCCTCACCAGCTCTTGCTGACCCCTTCTCCTGACACTGGGGCTTGCTCTGGGGACACAGGGTCTGGCCAGTCCCCAGCTGGCCCTGCAGCCCCTGGCTCCCACAGCCTGTCTGCATCTCTCTCTCCCCAGTAAGGACGATTCGGGGTTTGCAGCCCCCCCGCTGGTGTCGCAGGGGGTGGCAGTGGTGGCGGTGGGGTACGACATAGCCCCTAAAGGTAGGTGCTGGCCTGCAGAGGCTGCAGCTGCCTGCGTAGCCCAGTGCCCTCCAACCCTGCCCTTTGTCCTCTGCTTAGGCCACATGGACACCATGGTGTTGCAGGTGCGCCGCAGCCTCGTCTTCCTGGTGCAGCGGTACCCCAGGATCAGGTGGGCAGCTCCTGGGTCAGGGGCCAGTCTGTGAGAGTGGCTGGGGGGGCAAACAAGGCCTGGAGCGGGACAAAAGCTTTGGCACCTCGCTCCAAGCACTGGGCAGTGCCTGTGGCCACAATCCCCTGTCACCGCACAAGGCAGCGGCTGACGGATTGGGAAACATCTGAGCTGACACATTCGGGCTGTGCCACCTCCTCTGGACGGAGCAAAGCATGCCTAGTGTCCCTCTCAGTCGCTCCCTCCTTGTGGCTCACTGCTTCCTCCTTCCAGAGGCATTTACTTGTGCGGACACTCAGCAGGGGCCCACCTGGCAGCCATGGTGCTGTCCACAGACTGGACGGAATTCCGAGTGGTGCCAGATATCAAAGGTAGCGTTGCCATGTCCCAGAACAGGGTCGGGAGAAGAACTGGTCTCCACACCTGGGACAAGGCTGTGGGGCTGGTTATGCTAACTGGTTATGAGGTCCCAGAGCTGTGGAGCCACCCAGGCTGCAGCTCCTCACCTGGCAGTGCCTCTGCCTCCAGGAGCGGTGCTGGTGAGCGGCCTGTATGACCTGGAGCCCCTCCTGCACACCTATGTGAACGACGCTCTGAACATGAGCCGGTGAGCTCACACACTGTGGGGACAGCCGTGGGGACAGAGCACAGGCGGGCAGTGTCAGTGGCCCTGAAGCCACTCTGCCCCCATGCCTGCCCCAGCTGGGGAGCCCAGCTGACAGCACGGGCGCTCCTGGAGCGAAGGGCTGCATCAGCTGCCACCGGTGTGACTCCTGCAGGGAGGTGGCCCAGAGGAACAGCCCCATGAGACATGTCACCCCAGCAGTGCCAGCAGCCTGCCAGGTGCTCGTGGCTGTGGCCCAGCATGACTCCCCAGAGTTCCGCAGGCAGTCACAGGAGTACAGCCAGGTGAGCTCCAGGCAGCCACAGGAGCACGGCCAGGTGAGCTCCAGCAGCACCCTGCTTGGGTCTGGTGGGGACACTGCTCCAGGCACCCCTCACCAGCTTACCCAACTGGGAGGAAGAGCTTCTGTGCTGAGCCAGAGCGGTTTCTGGCTCACTGGAGGACACCAGTCCAGGCTAGGACATTATTCCTGCTGCTTGTCCAGGGCAGGTGGAGCTTGGGGTCCATCCTGCAGCACTCCTCTCTCTGCAGGCCCTGCGTGCAGCTGGCTGGTCTGTCTCTCTGCTGGATCTGGCTGGTGTGGATCACTTTGATGTCATTGAGAGGCTGTCAGAGGACAGCTACATCCTCACTCAGGTAGGCAGGAGGGCTGTGCCAAGGCGGATCAGGTGGGCTGCCACCTCCCTCTGGGGAGGTGCAGGGTCAGGGGCTTTTCACAGGGTTTGGTTCCTCATCCCAGGTGATTCTCAACATGATTTCAAGAGCATGATGGCACCTCAGGAGTAAACAGATGGGGACCGTGGCCCTGTGTGTTGGCAATGGGCATCTGACATCCCCCGCCTGCTGCCTCCTCAGTCTAACACAGGGCCACCACTGTCTCAGACCCACACTGTGCCCTCTCTGCTCAGCCCAGCCCAGGCTGGTGCCCCTTCCCTGGAGTGGTCCTGCCCGCTGGAGCACAGGGGACTGAGGGCTGCAAGGCTCTGATTGGGCAGCTGGATCATGAAGTTTGCTCCCTCAGCGTCCTTTAAACTGCACATTGGCAATACAGAATAAAATGGGAATTACTGCTGGCTGGGGTAGTGCTTCCCAGGGAGCCACTGAGTGCACACCTGAAGCAACTGCTGCTGAGAGAATCCCTTCTTCCAGTGCAGAGTTCTGGGACTTGCTGACCCAGAACATGACAGGGAAGCCTGCGCAGCCCACTGCTGCTGTGGGACAGAATGACATAAGCCTCTGTGAATGGGAGTGACACAGCCATCTGGGCCAGGCTCCTGGGACAGTCCTGGCCAGACACAAACCTTGGCATTGCTGTGCAGCAACCCTGGTCCTGTGGCTGAGATGGTTCCATGTCCTCAGGAGCAACTGTCCCTCCACGGGGACCTTGGCTGTGATGATGTCCCTGCTGCAAAGCAAGGAAAAGAGCACATTTGAGAGAAAACACCCTGCACAGCTACAGTACCAGCAAAAGGTGTTTATTTTGTGCACTGACTGCCTCAAGGGCTGGGCTCACATTGGTTTGTCAGGCTGCCTGTGAGGGCTGATGTCAAGTTTCAGATGGCTGGGAACACATCTGGAGCACAAAGGGGCTGGTCCCAGTCCTTGCTCTGGGCTGCCTGACCGCTGCAGTTGTGGGGTTGGCAAAATGCTCAGGCTCCCCCACTGCCTGGAGGCATCGGATGCAATCCCAAGGCCAATTCCTCCTGGCACTTCCTGGCCACAAATTCCAGCTTCCTCCTTGCGAGCTCAGTGTCACGGGCCGAGATGTTGCGGTGCCAGACGGCGCGCACAGTCCGTGCCGACCAGGGGAACAGCAAGACGCTGACAGCCTGCCCGGTCTCAGCCTCCTCCTCCTCGCTGACGGCACGCAGGCGGTCGCAGAGCTCGGTGGGGGACGGCCAGGCCCCCTGGATATTCACCATCACAATGTTGGTCTCCACTGCTGCCAGGTTGACGGAGCAGAGGGGAGAGTCCAGCACGTGGATACCTGCAGGAGGCCGAGGCAGTGCAAGCCCACTGCCCAATGGCCTGGAAGAGGCTACCTGCCCCAGCCCTGCCCCAGGTTCTGGACAAGGGAGAGCCCTTTCTCCCCCCATGTGATACCAGGGTCACTGAGCACAGCACAGGGATGGTCATGGCATGATCATGGCAGGTGAGGATCCCAGCAGCATCCTCACCTGGCTGGAGACCCAGAGTAGCCATCCAGGGATGGTGCTCAAGCCACCAGTACTGCTGTGCCAGGCAGTGCCAGGCGTGCAGTTACATCCCAGCACGCTCAGGGCCCTGAGGTACCTTCCGCAAAGCGCCGGGCGTTGTCGTGGTCCCTGCGCAGTGTGGCCTCCGCGTGCTGCAGCCCGAGGCGGGCGGCGGCCGCCAGCACTCCCACCTGCCGCATGCCCCCGCCCAGCAGCTTCCGCACGCGCCAGGCCTCGGCAACAAACTGCCTGCACCCCGCCAGCACCGCGCCAGCCGGGGCGCCCAGGCCCTGCAGAGCCACCAACGGGGTCACTCCAGCTGTTCCAGGGCCAGCTGCCCCTCCCAGCCTGCCAGGTGTGTTCTTAGCCCAACACCTGCAAACAATGGCCAGGGCCCGGCTTGTGCTGGCCCCTGCCAGCCCTGCGGACCCCTCCCCACACAAGCACACCTTGGAGAAGCAGAGGGACACAGAGTCACAGTGCTGGGCAATCTGAGCTGGCTCCACACCCTGGGCCACTGCTGCATTCATTAGTCGTGCACCGTCCATGTGCACCCGCAGCCCGTAATGGTCCGCAAGCCCACGGACCTGGGAGTCAGGGGGACAGCTGGTTTGGGAGGGACCCCTGGGGCATCTAGTGCCAACACAAGCCATCTCTGAGCTCCAGTGTCCCCGCAGTGCCATTGTGCAGGGCCCAGCTGCCCACGCCAGGCAGGATCATGCCAGCACCATCCGTGGGCTCTCACCTGCCTGAGATAGGTGAGGGGCAGTGCCCGGCCGCCCGCCGAGCTGTGTGTGTTCTCCAGACAGATGAGCTCAGGACGCGGGTGGTACTGGCTGCCGTGGGCCTCACGGATGGCCTGCTCCAGCTGCTCCAGGTCGAATGTGCCGTTCGGCAGATCTGGCAGGGCCTGGGAGTGCACACCGGCGACCTGTGCCCAGGGCAGGGAAGAGCACGGAGCTGACAGGGGACAAGTGGTGGCGCACGGGGGATCCAGCCCTCTGTCCCCTCCATCGGGTGTGTACAGCCCGCACTCGTGCTGCAAGCCCGTGCCTTGGGACAATGACCCAAGGAATGCCCTGGCAGCGGATCCTCCGCCTGGCCGGGCCCTGGCAGCCAGAGGAGGGCAGCACGCGGCCGCCCTCCTGCACTGCCACCAGCGCCACCAGCGCCACCAGTGCCACCAGCGCCACCAGCGCCACCGCCCGCCGCGCTCACCTGCGCGGCCCCGCCGTGCTCGTAGACGTGCAGGTGGGCGTCCCGGCCCAGGAACAGCTGAGTCCCCCTGCGCTGGCAGTGGCACATCACTGGGAGAGAAGGGCCGTGAGGGAGGGGGCAGGGGCAGCATTCCACAGCCGGGGGGCACGAGGCGCTGCGAGCCCCGGACTCACCGGCGATGAGGTTGGCCATGGTGGCCGTGGGCACGAACAGAGCCGATTCCGTCCCCAGAGTCGCCGCGGCCCGGCGCTGCAGCTCTGCGGGGGACACGGCTGTCCTGGGTGGCTGGCGCTGGGCTGCCCCCACCTCCGGGCCCCCATCCCGCTGCCCCCGGCCCGGGGGCTGGCAGGCAGGGACCCCCGGCAGGCCCGTCCCCTCCGCCCACCGTTCACCGCCGGGTCCTCCCCGTAGTCGTCGTCGCCCACGGCGGCGCGGGCCATGGCACGGCGCATCCCCGCGCACGGCCGGGTCACCGTGTCGCTCCGCAAGTCCACGACAAGAGGCGGGGCCGCAGCGGGACCCCGCGGCTGCCTCCCCCCGGGCCCGGGCAGCCACCCCCGCCGCAGCACCGTCCGCATAGCCAGGACCGCCCCCCGCAAGGGCTCCCGGGCGGGGGCGGGATCGGGATCGCCCTTCCCGGGAATACGGGGCGGGAACGGGGCAGCGGCTCCGGTGCGGGTACTCGGAGCGCCGTCCCTACGAGCCCCCATTCCTCCATCCCACACCACACACGGGTGGGGATTGCCCCGGCCCTGCACTCTCCTATCCTGGGTGTCCCACGGGAGGGAGCGCCAGGGGGATCCTTCAGAGTCTTTCCGTGGCTGAGCAGGAGTTGCTCCCGCCCCGCTGCCAGCGAGGCTGGCACGGGCTCGTCTGGCGCTGGGAGCTGGCTCCGGCCCTGGCTGCGTGTGCCCTGGCAGCGCCGCAGGTGGGCTGGCGCTGCAGCGGGGATCTCTGGGATCTCTGCGCAGCTTCACTGACCTCGGCACTCTCTGCCTGCTCTGAGGGGACCCAGCAGCCTCTTGCAGAAATTCCCACTGCCCCTCAGCAGGAGGCGAGTGTCCAAAGCAGTGGCGAGACCCCCTCACCTCCCTGCGCTGGGCTGGACCAGCCGGACCATGCTCCCTGCTGCCAGCACGGGGGGCACCACTCTGCAGCACCCAGCACCTCTCCTGGCATTTGCAGGGGATAATAGGACAGGTGCATTAAGGCGCCTCTTCCCCTCAGCCCCTGCCCACCTGTGGACGTGGTGTGCTCCAGCCACCTGTGCCATGCTGCTGCCTTCTCCCTCCCTCCCTCTGCCATGTGCCCCCCCACCTGGCTGCCCCAGGTCCCCTATCCCGAGCCCCCTGCAACCGCCCCACTGGTGCCCGCTCTGCCCATCCCCCTGCCTGTGCCCCTGCCCATGGAGCCCCCTCCCTCACTATCGCCTGTCACCCCCCGTGCTGTCAGCCCTGCAGATGAGTGAGCCATAAACAGTCCTTCATGAGACGTTTTTCACACGCAGGGCCACATGTTAACAGTTTTTCTTTATTTACTGCCTCCATTTCCTCTTTGTTCCAGGAACTTGTCCTCCAACTTCAAGCTGCTCATGATTAGGCAAAAAGGCCTCTAATCTCCCCGATCTGATTTACCGTCACTGAGAGCAGACGCTTCCCGTTACTGGCCCTGGACCTGGGAGCACGGACAGCTGAGCTGTGCCGGCTGCTGAGCCCAGCTGAGCCTCCCCAAAGCTGCCCCGCCACACACACCGCCTTCCCGGCAGCTTCCTCTTCCAGTAAGCGCTGGGCAGTGCAGCCGGTCACGCCGCAGGTGAAGGGCTGGGGGAGCAGCGGCTGTGGGGCCCCAGGCCAGGGAGCCCCCCCTCCACCTGGGGCGGCTGCTGTAGGGCAGGGCAGCCTTTGAAGCCACTTTCTCTGCCTGGAATGGCCACATGGCTGCAGCACCCCCCAGCATCAGCTTCCCAGCCACTCACCCAGCCACTCCCTGGCACCTGGTGGGCTGGTTGATTGCCCTGGTGTGCCCAAAGCTGAAGGGCAGCTCAGGGCTCTGCTGTGGGCAGCCCCCCCAGCCCAGTCAGGGTCCGCAGCCAAGCAGGGGCTCCTTCACTGGGCAGCAGCCACAGCTTCTGCAGGACTGTGCAGTGTGGCTGGGTGTGTTCCACAGAGCCCCTTGTCCTTCAGCCATGTGCCTTTCCCCAGGACTTCGGTCTGGGACCTGCCTTGGGGGTCCCCCCTTGCTACCAGCACCCACAGAGCTACCCCTGCAGGTGACCCAGCAGGGCCATGGCGGGGCCAGCTCTGGGACCATGGAAGCGCTTGTGGCCTTATGTGGAGCGGCTGAATGGACACCACAGGAGCTGGGCAAAGGGTGGGCAGTGCCAGTGTCTGGCCAGGGGCTTGGCTGGCAGCTGGGGACTAGCGGGGGGCTCACCCAGGACCACAGTGCACCACAGGACTGCAGTCACCACCTGCCCACACCAGCTCCCGTGGTGGGCTAAGCCCCTGCCCCGCTGGGCTCAGCTCCTGCTCCAGTCGTGCCTCCCCAGGGCTAAAATTAGCAGCTGAGGCCTGGCTGGGGAGCCGGGAGTGGAGCCCAGATCCCACCGCGGAGGATCGGGTTTCCCCCCTCCCTACCACAGGCCTGGCAACCACTGGGGC